ATGCGGCAGTTTCTGTGTTACTATAGGTTGAGCAATTGGAGGCCTATTGACAGGCGACATCACCAAGCGCCGATAGTTAATGTGCCGATAAGGCTCAGGTACAATTGTAATCTGAGTGCTTCTGCCCGTCATCTTGAAGTTGTTTTCGATGGCTTGTTTAAAGGAGACATACCCTTGTCTAACATCATCTGGGGAAGCTACCCCAAAGAAGCATTCGGTTTTTCCTTGGATCCAAGCTCGAACGTGGTCAGGCGCGCCAATGGCAAGGCTGATGAGCTTGGGATGAAAGGAATTACCAACAAAGGAGCGTATTGTTTGCGAGTGTAAAACGTGTTTAAGGCGCGAAATAGTGGCAAAGTTGCGGCTGAGACCTGAGACTTGCAAAACCTCGCTGTCAGTTAAGAAACGAAAAGGAACTCGCATACTGCTGTTGTGGAATAACGGAAGAACATCACGAAGCGCAGCATCCTTCTCTGGATTAGAGGAGGCTTTGCTGTAGAAGCAACTCAGAAAGCGCCTCCATGCCGGATAATAAATTGCAGGTATAAAGTCACTCCATTGAAAGGCAGGAACAGAACTGTCAGTGAACATTTTTGCTACGACAGCAAAACGTTCATGTGTGTGCCAGTATGAAGTTCTCCACAGTAGAGCTGCAGGGTGGTAGCTAGTCCAGCTGTAGCGAAGAGCGATATCGCTGAGGACTTCAAGGGGTCGCATGAAAGGTTTGATAAAAACGTCGCGAAACTTCCCTTTATCATGGATGGAGAGTGGTTTCCAGTCAGCTGGCCATTGGAGGTCTTCATGGCACAAGGCTTGTGCATCGACTGTGTCATGGAGGATGTTGTTTTGAAAGAAAAGACGAAGTCTTTTTGCTGGCGATATTTTAGACGTACACCAAGTCATTTTGTCTCGTGTAATGTGCGATAAGCCAAGACAGGCTCTGATGAAAGTAAAGTGATCATAGTGCATTGAGCCTGCATTTTCAATAAGAAAGCGGATATGCGTCTTGGGAAGGACTGTACCAAGCAGATATAGCGCGAGATGCATCGTAAAGAAGAAGACACTGTCAGGACCACAGATACCTAAGCGTCCATGTTCTTGACCAGCATAGGTGAGGTCAGTGCAGGGACTGCCTCCAATGACAAAGACATGACAAGAATCACTTAAAGTGACAAACTCTCTTAAGATTCTCGCTCCATCATCAAAGAGAAGGTCGACATCATTCGCATAGAGGAAAATGCCTCCTTTGAGGCTGTGTATCCACTGAACGTTAACAGAGATTCCATGTTTTTCTGCAACCAAATATCTGAGCGTTTCATCTCTTTCACACAACAAACAGACTTTGGGGCGATAGCCAAACTTTTCAATGAGAATGTCCAAGGACGATCCGCATCCATCGAACATGCTCAGGACAGCATATGGTGGTTTGGACTCAATACTTTGCATGGGGTGATCAATCGGAGATGCAGGCAATGAGAGGTGGTCAGCTTGCGATGACTGCGACAAAGATGCTTCAATGGCTCTCAGTTGCTCTGCAGGAATAGTTGCATCATTGGGGCATAGTTTCTCCGGGATGTAAGCAGCCTGGAGTTCGCTCGGATTGAGAGGGACAGGGCCAACAACATCTTTTCGATTCCCAACGTCAATGGCCCTTTTTGTAGCATGTTTTCTCTTAGGAGTACTCACTTCCCGCTGCCCAAACTTGTTTTTGGCACGTTTTGAGTCTTTGCCATGCGCAATATTGGAAGTTCGTTTAGGAAGTCGCGTGTGACACCATGTGCTCGAAATTGTTGCATGTCGGTAAAGAATACCACAAATTCGATCACCTGCTTTAAGTTGTGAGATACATAATTGGCTCAGCCCGGTAGCATTATCATACTTTAGGATTGTAGAGCTGGTATTTTCATGTTCTAACACGTAGAAATGCTCACACGGTTGCTGCTCCCCATTCAGTGGGTCAGGACCCTGATGAATAACTAAGGCAATGCATTGCCAAATTTGCCCACTTGAGTGGAAGGTATCTTTGTTAAGAAACTTGTCATAATCTGTTGCAAGCGGCTGGTTCTTTCGTAAAAAATTCAGCCATACAAGTCGACAAGGTGAACAAGAAACAGTGGCCCAGTTGAAGTTACTGGCACATTCTTGACATTCTTGACAGACATTTATTCCATCATCTCGTCCAGTGGACAAAAGATGCTCTGACCATGGAAAGGCAGCTTCAAAAAAGGCAACATGCAATAAAAGTCCTGTCGGAGGGTTGGTGACTATGAAAGTAGCGACATTGTGCTCGACAGTTCTGCAACAACTCAGACAAGTAAATGAGACTCTGGATCCTAGTAAGTCATGAAATGGAGGCGGAATAATAGCAACAATAGACTCATATGTTCTGAGCAAGTCCATATGAGTATCCTTGGGGAGAGCAGACATAGCCAAAGCTAGGTGATAATGATCGAAATCATCATTCGGTAAATGAGATGCACACGTCCAGCCTTTGGCTACTGCAACCATTGCTCGGTGACCAATGTGATTTTCGAAGTTTACCTGCTTGTTCCAGTTTGCTTTGGAGACAATACGTAGTGCTGCCGTATAGTAGCAAGCAGTAGCATTAAGGTTCTCATATAAAGATACAGCCCGTTGAATGTCTTCATCCTGAAAGTCCATGTTTTGAAGAGAGACATCACGGCTGATCATCTGCTGTATCTGGTGAATATATGATTGCCGACGTTTGTTTTGGAGGATCTCATTGACTGAGTTTTTGTTCGTAGCGCAACAGGAGACATGTTGGGCGTTGATTCCCCGTTTCACGAGATGATGGCTAAGGCCATCACCTCGTTTTGGGGCGGGTTTTGCAGTAGGTTTCTTAGTCGCCTGTCGACGCGGATCACCAGAGCTTTTCTTAGGGGTGGGTCTCCTGTCAAGGATTTCTTCAACAGTATGTTTTGACTTGGTTGAATGGACTCGATGGCCTGCTATTTTTCCGGGATCGTCTTCAAGTTGTTGTTGTAACTCTTGGTATACCTGCTCACAAAACGAATCGGTTGAAAGTTGTGAAGCTTCATTGCCCGATGGGCATTCGTTGAGAGAAAAAGGAACAACTACATTCTCTTCAGGGAGCTCTTTAATTTGGTGGGTTTCGGCATTGTGGGTCTGGGATTGCTGTAAGTCATTAGGACCGGCGATACAATCAAGCTTGATGTTTCTGTTTGCAGAGTGCAAGGCAAAGCTTTCATCAACTTGCATTGTTTCATTTACAGCGCAAGAATCGTTTTGAGTATTGGAGATGCAAACCTTGCTTACTGACAATCGTTCAGGTGCCCCAGCAAGTTCTAGCAAAGAAGGTTCTGGGTTGACATGACTTTCTTGATTCGCAGCTTGATGTTCACCACGGTCTTTTGTTAGGGGAGATGTAGTCACATCACTACAACGCTGGTCCTTTTTGGTTGGGGAGTGATAGGACAAAAGGTCAAAGTCCTGCTTCGGTGTTGGTTCTTCTTCTCGGGATGTAGAACCAGTTGCATCAATTTCAGTTGGTAGGGGACTGACTGCATCTTGATTATGATCAGACGAAGACGGAATCGAACGAGCAGGTGATTGCTTGTTGTCACGACACTCGCCAGTGAAAGAGGTATCTCTTTGGGCATTTGTTCTATGTTGAGGGTTGCTGCTAGTAATCTTTGTAACATGCTTAGTTGCAACGGGCTCTGTAGCATGATTCTTGTGTGAGAATTGATTATTGTACCAAATCGAGAGTATGCGGCCAAAGGGAGCTTTCTCAAAGACATCATGAATGTCTATCTGACCTGGTAGAAAGAGAATGAGGTTAGCACGGTCATAGACACTGAGCTCTAGTGCATTACTGAAACACCGAGAGACTTTACCTCTTTCGAAGCGTGGTTGTAGGACTTGCAGCTTTTGACCTTGTTCAATTTGGCAATGAATAATACTTTCATGCTCAGGTAAAGTTGTGATGACATCTGCATTGTACTGTTGTGGGGGTGGCTTTGAGGTCGTACATTCAAGAAAGATTGTATGATGGTCAAGGAGATGCTTTTGTCTCATCAAAATATCAAGGAGATGAGTAACCTCTTTCGTGGAGAGTTCAGCTTCGACGAGGCAAATAGGAACTATTTCATCAAGCAAATCAACAGCAATGTCTCGCTTGCCGATTTCAAAGCTAAAGACTTGCAGCTGCCCAAATCTTCTGCGCGACATGCTGTTACCTGGTAGAGGAAAAAATCCACTAAGCCGAGCACCCTGACATAGTCCTTTATTATGTGCCCCAACATGGTGGTCAGTTTTTGTTTCTTTAACGTAAATGTTGGAGGTCCGTTCTGCAGTATGGACATCAGGCTGTTTGTAGTGGACAATTCTTTTTCGTGCTTTGGTCAACAAAGGTACCAGGTATTCGCGGAAGTGAAGTGGGCGACGCAAAAAAGGCAACAACTTTCTGTTGACCTTTATCTTGGACATGCACTATGGCAGGTCGGATCTGTATTGCGCCCAAGACTTTTTGTAACTCTTCACTGAAGTCTACATCAACAGAACCATCTTTCATCATAAGTGATCCGTCATCCTCAATTTGAAAGGCTTCATGGGTGTCACTTCCAGTAGTACTAATGTCAACAATCCAACAATTTTCGTTGGTTCCCGCAGTGAAAGAACATTGTAGGCTGCCTTCTTCTTTGCCAAAGGGAATCTTGATCTGTTCTTGGAAGGTTCGAAGCCTGAAATTTTCAAGTTCAGCTCCTTCAGCATAGATAACCAAAAGTTCATGAGGGATGGAGGTATACCCCTACCATATACCCCTAGAAGGTTACAATATGGCCACTATATAGCATTATATAGTATTATATATAGATTATATTTCATAATATAAGCTCTATTTTCTATAATATAGCTCTAAATAATGACATCTGCCTGTCTGCCCAACAGATTGCATCGCTGTCAATCTGCCCATCTGTCAAACCTCTGTGAATCTCTGGAACTCGGCTTTTCTTGCGGTGAAATCACTTCTTGGCTTTCTTCTTGGGTTCTTCGTTCGAAGAGCCCTTGGAAGAAGAAGCTCTCTTGGACGCTGTGGCACTACTCGCGCTGTTCATGATGGCAGCCACATGCTTCATATGGCTCGGAGGCGCCATTGTCTCATCGATCTCCAAAGGAGTAGGGCCTTCGTCAGAAACATGTGGCCCCAGACTCTTTGAACCCAACACACAAACATCATGGCTGTCAAGTTTTAAATTGTATCTTTAGCACCTCTTGGACCCACTTTCATATTCCAGGAAAGAGAGAAACCGGCCGGCCTGATTTGGCCTTGGCGTTACTCTTCCCTTTCGGCTTGGCAGCAGCTTTGGGCTTGCTAGCGGCTTTGGGTTTGCTGGCGGCTTTGGCTTTGCTAGCAGCTTTGTCCTGCTTGGACAGTTTGGAATTCTGTCGCTTCTTTCGTCTCGGGCTGGAGGATGAACTAGACGATGATGAGGAGGAACTTGATGAACTAGAAGAGGAAGACAGCGCTGCATCAGCTGCGTCCTCCTCTGGAGCATCAGGCTCTGGCTCGGCTGCCTTCTCAGACACTGCCGCCGCAGCAGCAGCATCTAGACCAGCCGCGTCGTCATCGACTGGCCCCGGATCAACTTCCCCTGCAAGTACTCGGTCCAAAGTATCCTGGATTCGCTTTGAGCTTGGCCGGCCGCTTGTGTCCTTGAGACAGGGGAAAGACAGATTCCCGTTTCAACACTGTAAAACAAGTAATAGAATGTCCGCCGATCCTCTGCCACAGGCAGAAGCGAGGCGTGTTTTGTGGAAGGTTGCTTGCAAAGATTGCTTGTGAAGAGTTTGACCTTGTGTTTAGACGGTTCCTTGGCGCGTATTTTTTTCACTGACTTCACCCCCCCTCCCCCCCATGCGTTTGCTTTTGCTTACTACTTAACCCGTGTCTTGTCTCACCCTTTATGTACACACACGCCGACGCATTTGAGCGGTTGCGCGCGCGCCATAGCACTTGACAATAAGCTTCCGACTTGTGGACCGCTCTTTTTGGGGTGGCGGAGCTGGCCGAAGGCCATTAAGTAATTAGAGGCCTAAACTCAGGAAAGACATCAAAAGCCTGTTCTATAGCGCCTTCCAGAGTCATATCCCTCTTTGCCATGCAAAGTCCACAGTGCATCCACCACGTGTTTCAATGCTTGAAATTGGGTGTATTTCCCTCCGTATGACCTGGACTTGGTCACGTGAGTCTTTTTCCTACCCTTCTTGTTGGCCTTCTGCTTCGCAAGCTCCTCGGGCTTGAGGGGGTAGTACCCCTCAAACGCAGCTATACTTGCAGAAGTCTGCCAGACCAGATAGCAGCCATGTCGTTGAGGACGAAGGTCCTTCACAATGCGAGGTGTCCTCTGGACTCCTGCTTCCCGGGTGTATCCACATCGTTCAAGCACCAATTCGCGCCTGTGCTCATCATTGACCTGCTCAAAAAGGTCAAAAAACTTCTTTGAATCAGGCTCGTAGCTCATTGCGCCTAGCACCTCCCTCAAGCATTTGGGTTTGTACCCTCTCGCTGTGTCGCGCTCATCCTCCTTCTTGATGTTGGCAGTGGCCAGCCGTTTTACCAAAGCATCTTGATCCACTTGAGGCAAATGAGCGCAATACGCCGCTACCAGAGCAGCCCTGGGTCTTCCGGGCCAAAGCAGTCAACCACACCAAACACAACAAGGAACAAACATAGCACTGATAAAAAAGGGAAAGCCATACCACCTGACTGTCCAAGGAACACCATGTTTGCGTTCGTTCGTTTGCCCTTTGCTTCCACTGCAACTCCACAGTCCTCGCACAAGCGCCGCAGTGTCTCTTGGTTTGGAGCTTTAGGTACGAACTGTAACCAAAAGCCCATGAGACACAGATCTGCTGAAGACCTCTTCAAACATATGCGCACCCTGCTGCTGCTAGGCTCGTGGAGGCCTGGGTGGAACGGTGACTATGATTATAGAAACATGAGGGGAACTCACAAAACCTGCCCTGATCTTGAGCCAAAATGGCATCAAGATCAGGAGTTACCCCTACATGTTTCAAATCCCAAAATGTCCCTACCCAACCATCCATTCATTTTGGGGAGACAATAAAACAATCAGTCGGACAACAGCGACAAGAAACCCACACCACAGAAGTTTGGAGCAAACTTGCCAACACCTAGCTTTCGGGCTCAACCAAGGTGCATACACTTGCTGGAACTCCTGCAAGAGCTTCGTCCTCGGGCTTTCCGGGTTTGCCCAAGACGGTTGCAGTCATCACGACCAGGTCCTGCGCCTTCGCAGGCGCAAAAACACCGGGCAGCACTTCCTCAAGCCTCCACGCCAACCCCGTCAAGAAATGAAATCCAAGACACAACAGGAATTGGCCAGAGGACTTCTCGAGGTAGATATGGCCTGGCAAGAAGACCAAGCCCTTCCACATGCTACCAACATCCCTGAAGCTGCTTTGCCGGCTCAACTTCATAGCCAGGAATGCAGACACTGATCTGAACTCACCTTGCTGGCCAGCTGGCCTGTAGACCTGATCTTTCCTCGCTCTGAGGCCACAGCTCTTGGTTGTGTTCTTGTTGCCTGACGGGTGCCAAGCAATGAAACGGCAATCAAAGTGCTCCCTGCCAAAACTGCGGGCGTTAAAAAAATGAAGGGCTAGGCAGGCCTGGGATTTGGGGTTGACGGCGTTAAACTTTAAACATCTACATGTTCTTTTGGTATACAGCGCCGAACCTCTTGCGCAAGTGTCCCTCTTGATCTTGTCACAAACATCCGAGCTTCGCCGCACATGTTGCGCAGGAAAGAAAACTGCCTGGGTCTGGTGTTGTCTGCGCGCGCCCCGGTCGAAAACATCAACCTCCGTCAAATGCGCCAGTGGAAACTCTTCCCTGTTCATCCGGGGGCTCATTGTCATGATGAACCAGAGGCGCTCCAAAGTTGATGTCCTGTAGTTCTTGTTCTGACTGCGTATTTTGTTGGCAATGGTCGAGAACGAATCCTCCAGAGGCTCTTTCGTACTGACGACGGTGTCAAAGAGTCTGTAAACATGGCCATACAGGGCATCCAGTTGCCACGAGAACATCTCTGCGTGCTTCCAAAACTCCTGGCACAGCTTTGTTGTGATGAACCTACTCTTGGTAGAGTGGTGTATATATAGTTACGGTCGTATTTGGGGGGGCTGGTGCATCAATGCACACTGACTGATATGGGCCAACCAACGCAAACTTCCTCACACACCCCACTCATCGGTGCTCCCTCCATGTCCAGCATGTACGCGTCCTGGACCAATGTCTCTCGGTGGTACCACAGCTCGGAGAAGCAAAGCTCCAGCCCCTGCAACAAGCTAAGCCAATATTGCAGCGATTTTTCTATGTACTATGAATGATATCTTTTATTGGCTTGCTTCCACACGCACGAGGGCTATCACACGCTACCCTACTTTGAGAACAACTCAAACATTTTCAAGTTGTAAACCAGGCCTTCCAATCCCCTTCTTTCTTTGTGAGGTAGTCCCAAGCTTCAACAATGACTGACTGTTCCTCTTCCAGCTCAGACAACTTCTGGGAGACACGGTCGGTGTTCTTGTGCAGCAACCCTGCCCAGGAAAGCGGAGATACCTCAGACCAAATCATCATGCTCCAAGCCCTCTTCGAGACAGCTGAAACAATCAGCTGGAAAAAGTCGGACGCAGCTTCTCTGGCGCAATCACTTGCACCATCAGCATTGCGGATTCCCAGCTGCCCAAGAGCAAATGCATCTGTGAGCTTGTCAAACATCTTGGAAAGGGTTTGGGTCCATGTCCTGCAGGCCAAGTCAGCCTGCCACTGCATGTTTGTTTCGCGTGTGTTGGTGGCGTCCATGAGCTCCAGGTGTTCGGTATTCAGAGCTTTGCGGGCAAAAAATATCCTGGGCTGCAGTCAGAGTAACCTGAATATATTAACATATAACAAAATGTGGACCACTGATGTATGAGAGATACTCAGGTACCAAACTCACAGCAACTGTGCCCAAACAATCTCAGTCAAGCAGGAAAGACATTGCCAAATAGTGCTTTGGACCTGCCAGGCAGCATGTGCGCATACTCTCGAATTCGCTCATCGCACAGCAGGTCAAAGGAAATTTGTAGATGACTTCGCTGAGCGTGCAGCTCCTTCAAGGCCTTGAGCAGTGATGCTTTTGCCGCTTCTGATCCTCCTCGTAATGAATCTACTGCTTTTCTAAAGTGCTTCTCACAGTCGTCCGCAGGTTCCTCCTGATGTTCTGTCTCACCAAAGAGTCAAAGCAGCATCCCCAGTCTTGGAGGGTCTTTAAAGGGCCCAAACCTATGTCTTTTCGCTCAAACTCTTTGGGCAACACTTTGAAACCAAAGCCTGCAACAAAAAAACAAAAACCCTGTTCCTCTGGAGCCTCTCCCTTCAATGTGAGGTAGAACTTGTAGATCTTGCGGAGAAAATGCCAATGTGGTCCAATTGTTTTCCAAGCGGAGTCCCAGTTGAACCATCTTGACAGCGCTGCCTGGCCCACTGAAAGGGACTTTGAACAACTTTCTCTGTGGTTGTGGAACCTTGGCTTCTAAGGTTGTTTTTACCAACGCAACCTTACTTTTTGTCTAAGGTTGCATTTACCAGTTCACCCCTACTTTTTGTCATTGTTTGGTGTGACTTAGGCTAAAATATGAGCCCAGTCACATCTGTTGTGGACCACCCAGCAATCCCATCTCTGCAGCGTTGGTGGACAATCTCTGGAGGTGTGTCACGAGGAAGCGCTTGGTCCATGCATATACCCTCGAGGGCGTCCTGGAACCTAGACGTGAGCAAGCCAACCAATCTAAGTGGGCAAGTTGTAGGGCTTCAGACCCTGTTCCTTGCATTAGCTGACCTGCTCGATATAAAACACCCAGACTAAACACTTGCAAAACCTTCATTCAGAGTCAAGAGACTCAGTAGAGTAGGGGTCATGGATGTCCAAATAGCAATGCGCTATCTGAGCCAACTCCCTTCCCCACTCATGACTGTCGAAGGGGCCCCTGCAGCTTCTCACAATGTGCCGCACACAGGCCACCACGCCTAGAGGGCCGCTTTCAGGAACCTCGTGGTGTGTTTCCCCTAAATTCCAGAACAATGGGGCAATTGTTTCACGCATCTGAACACGAAAAATCATACTCAGAACAATTCCGACTGGCAATATTGGGTTTACAAAGACAGCTTGGGGCCCTTGCCTACAAGTACTTGCAACATAAACCTTTTCAACAGAACGGGCCCCATAGTCCACGCGCTTTCACACAGTTGTCTGCGTCGTTATGCATCCGGTGATGTTCTTCTCGCTTCCTCAACGCTCGTAGGTGAGTGCTATATAGAAGATAGTTTTCGCACTTCTGCCTCGGTAGCGATATTATCATATAAAAGATGAATCGGATCAGCTTCGACCAAAAAAGGTCAACAGGCCCTATAGACTTATAGGATAAGATGTCCCCCCCAAAACTGATAAGATAATACGCCCTCCGAACACATTTCAAAGGCTAACCTATGGTGCTCCAGTGATTTTCATGACTAGGGGACGAACTGTTCGGGTTCTTCGTCCGACGTCAGGATCAAAGTCTTCCTGTGTTCCAGCGCTTTGGGATCAGGCAACCCAGGTTGCGGTGGCTGCACTGCTGGCTCAAAGTCAGTGAGACAGCGCTGTGTTATTGAGTGCACAGCGTTCTCCAACCCCAGAGAGAACTTCCAAGGGCCCTTTTTTGACAAAGGAGACTCTTTCAACATTGCTTTGGCTGAGCCATCCGGTATAATCTGTTGAGCTTCCAGCTCCTGGACATGCAAACTAAGTTGAATGGTGTGTCAGACACACATGTATATATATATATATATTTGTTTTACTGTTGTTGATCTTGCTTGTAGTACGTTGTTGCAGTGTAGAGCAGGCAGGGTGTGCGCAAACAAGTTAGGGTACGTGTGTTCAAAGAAGTTAGGATACCCGCGGCCGTGGACCATTTGAGAACTCTTGAAAGCAGCTCTTGAAGCTTTCAAACAAAACAAAAGTCTTGCGCTTGAAGGTTTCCCCAACCCGAGTCCGCTGCCACTGTAAGAAGTTTGACTTCTTCAGTGTCTTCAGGAGAGTTTGATGATAGGATCGAGGGATCATGCACCTCAGGCCACAAATCAAATGGACATTGTCATGAACATGTTTGACCCTAACCCTTTACGAGCATCATGCCGGGCAAGGGTTGCAGCTGATGCTTTTTTGGCTGCGCAGCTGACGTAGCTGAAGCAGGCTTGGTCTTTCGGAAGCAAAGCGCCCTGCCAAAAGATCCAAAAGATCTAGTCTGCAATGGGCCCATCTTTTTGAACTTAGTTACTGTAGTTGGGTACACGCTCTACAGGCCTGACGGTGACAAAACAATCAGACTCTAGACTACATGGAAATTTGAACACAGCCTGTACAAAACAATAGATAGAGTCTGGTGGAGCAATCCTTCAACACCAGAGTCTGAAGACATACGTCGTACGGATCTGGGCCTGTTGCAGCTGTTTGCGGGCAAGTCTGCAAACCGGAGTGAGTCTGAGCACCCTGATTCAGGGACCATTGTTCCTAGCTTGCAACAGTGGCTGGTAAGGGTTGCAAAGCACAACTTTCAACAATGGGCCCGTTGGGAAAGAGATACAGGAGTCACTCTATTCTTACTTTCAAGCGACATGGGCAACCTGTTTTCGGGACCTACAAGGGATGTCGTGACACTTGATGGAAACGATCAATTATATATATATATATTGCTTTTTGTTTCCTGTTGTCATCCCCTTGTACCTTCCTAAGTGGTGGAAAACTGCTGAAAACCAGTATTCCCTGCTCTATGGCCAAGCACGTCCAAACACCACCAACTATCCAATCAGTATCCAACCCCTGTGTGGCTGCCACCAATGGTGTGGACATGCGTAGACGGCTGAAAAACCAATATCCCCTGCCGTTTGGCCGGGCGCGCCCAAAAAACCACCAACTATCCAATCACTATATCCGACCCCTGTGTGGCTGCCACAAATGGTGTGGACGTGTGTGGACCCCAAAACCACCAGCTATCCAGTCACTACCCAACCCGTGTGAGGCTGCCTCAAATGGTGTGGACTGCTGAAAACCAGTATTCCTTGCTGTTTGGCCAGGTCT